GCGGTGGCCGGGAGCGGCCACTGCACTCCAGTCTGGGTGACCGAGTGAGACTCCAACACAAAAAAAAAAAAAAGAATCCTTAGAACTTGGCAGCCTCTTTGGCTCATGTATTTTGAAGATTTGGGATTAGATATGGCATACTTTTAGTAAATGTTGGGCATAATAGTCTTCCTTTGGACAATCTCCTTGTTCTTAGCCAGTGATGTCATAGTAATCCTCAACCTTTGGGACCTGTTTAGAACTACTTTTTTAAAAAGTTTTCCAACTCTGAAAGTAATATTTGCTCATTGTAGAAAGAAAATACAGGAAATGGAGATATATATATGTAACTTTTTTTATATATATATGTAACTTTTTTTATATATATATATATGTAACTTTTTTTTTTTTTTTTTTAATAGAGGCAGGCTGGTCTCAAATTCATGGGCTCAAGCAATCCTCCAGCCTCAGCCTCCCAAAGTTCGCATATTAAAGACATGAGTCACCATGCCCAGCCTGTTTTTAAGAAGCACTAGCCATGCTTTTGTTAAGCCATGGCCCAGCCATGTGGGTCTTTAAGCTCTGGCCCCCTCTCCTACCTTGGGAAGAAAAATCTCTTCTCTTTCTTTCTCTAATCTATTTTCTAAATAAACTGTATTTTCCAATTTAAAACAAACACAAAACCCTAAAAATAAATTGGTTTTTTTTTTTTACTTAATAATGTGATGTAAACGTTTCCCCATTTTTAAAACTCAGCATACTTAAATTTCAAATTCCATTTTAATAATAGCCTTTTCCTTCTTTACAGACACTTGATTGTTCAGAGTTTTAATGCTTTAAATATCTTTATTGTGAACACCTTGGTAGATAAATAATTGAGGTTACTAAAGGGGTTTTTTTCTTGCAAGTTTTTTCTCAGCTTTTTTAACTTTTTTTTTTCCTCTTGCATTTTAGGGATCCAGAAGGCTTACGAGTATTTTATTATCTTGTCCAGGACCTGAAGTGTTTGGTCTTCAGTCTTATTGGATTACACTTCAAGATTAAACCAATCTAGATTGAATATTGGTGCGGACATGAGAGGGGTAGAGTGGTTGTTTTTTAATTGCCATTTCAGGAAATTTTTGTGTATATCAGGGAAGTATTTTTTTATAAACTGGAAATGATTGTCTTTAATAAATATGTGATAAAAACCCAATTTTTATTTTATAAATACCTAAACAAGTGAATTCTTCTTACTTTGTAAAACACTAACACCCTATGTGACATATAACCTCAAAATCAAATCTAATCAACTCTACATATAACTACCATTTTATAGGAAACAAGGGAATAGAGAAACTTTTTGGGTTTTTTTTTTTGAGTTGGAGTCTCACTCTGTTGCCCAGGCTGGAGTGTGATGGCATGCTCATGGCCATTGCAGCCTCAACCTGCTGGCCTCAGGCCATCCTTCCGGCTCAGCCTTCCAATTAGCCAGAACTACAGGTGCAAACTACCACACCTGGTTAATTTTTTGATTTATTGTAGAGATGAGGTCTCACCAAGTTGCTCAGGCTGTTCTCGAACCTGTGGGCTCAGGCAATCCTCTCACCTCGGCCTCCCAAAGTGCTGGAATTACAGGCTTGAGCCAATGCACCCAACTGAGAAACGTTTTTTAAAATACTTTGGGAATCCAATCCGCAATATCCAAAGGAAGTTCCAGGACAAATGGCCTGATTTCTTCAGTAAATTGTAAGAGAAACATAGGAATGGAGTGGGAGCCTACAAAGGAAATTTAAAAGCCATCTTAATAAATACAGTGTTTGGACTGCATTTGAATCATAACTCAAGAATTGTAAAATTGATACCATTAAGGATATTTGAACCCTGGATATTTGATTTTTTTTTTTTTTTTTTTTTTTAGTTGAGTGTAATAGCACATTCACAGCCACCGCAGCCTCGACCTGCTGGGTTCAGACGATCCTTCCATCCTTCCACCTCAGCCTTCCAAGTAACTGGAATTACAGGCACGCGCTACCACGACGAGCTTTTTAATTTATTGTAGAAATGAGGTCTCACCAGGTTGCCCAGGCTGGTCTCTCTGAGTTCAGGCAATCCTCTCGCCCTGGCCTCCCAAAGTGCTGGGATTACAGGCTTGAGCCTCTGCGCCCGGCCTATTTGATAATTTTAATGGAAGTACTGTTGACTTTTTAGGTATGAAAATAGTATTGTGGTTAGGGTTTTAAAAATCACCTTTTATAGATAATACCTATATTGCAGTAGTTATTTCAGTATGGGGAAAATACTTTGATTTAATGTATCATAAGGGATAAAATGCCTGATCTCAGAAAAGCTTTCCATTAGTCCACTTTAAGATCAGAATACCAGCTGGGCTCGGTGGCTCAGCCTGTAATCCCAGCACTTTGGGAGGCCCAGGCGAGTGGATTGCCTGAGCCCGCGGGTTCAAGACCCCATCTCTACAATAAATAAAAAAATAAGCCGGGTGTGGTAGCGCACATCTGTAGTTCCAGCTACTTGGAGGACTGAGGCAGAGGGATCACCAGAGCCCAGCAGGTGGAGGCAGCGGTGGCTGGGCCTTGCCACTGCACTCCAGTCTGAGCAACAGAGTGAGACTCCAACTCAAGAAAAAAAAAAGATCAGAATACCAACAGTCATTAAGGACTGAGACCAAGTGGTTTGTACAGATAGTGTGGGTATTTTCCCAGCAGGAGGATCTGTAGAAACTTTTTCTTGCTGGTAAACTGCATGGCTTTAGGCAAATTGCTGGTTAAACAGATTGCACCTGCTAAAAGGAATAGGCCTTGACAAGCCTCATTGAGGGGAAGTAATTAACCAAACTCACACCTCTAAAGAGAGGTCAGCCTGGGACAACGTCCCAAGTATCCTGATTCTTAGATTAGTGCTTTTCTCACCACACTGCTTTGCCTCCTTCAGAGACTACAGGGAAGCCGGCAGCTCACATCTGTAATCCCAGCACCCTGAGAGGCCAAGGCAGGAGAATCACTTGCCCGGAGTTCGAGACTGGCTTGAGAAACACGTGAGAACTCTCACCCCCACACTTCTCTACAAAAAAAATTATTCCGGCGTGGTGGTGTGCCTGTAGTCCCAGCTACTCTGCAGACTGAAATGAGAGGATCCCTTGAACCTAGGAATGTGAAGCTGCAGTGAGCTACGATTGGGCCACTGCCCTTTGGGCTTGGACGACAGTGAGACTGTCTAGAGAAAAAAAGATTATGGGACAAGGGCAGCGTTGACTCCTGACTCCAGTGCACCTCCTGCTATAAGGGTATTTGGGGCAATGAGGCAAGTTGGTGGTAAAGTAGACATCAAAAATAGTTACTCCAATCGGGCTTGGTGGCTCAGCCTGTAATCCCGTGCCTTGGGAGGCTGAGGTGAGTGGATTGCCTGAGCCCGCGGGTTC